GCCCCCTCTGATCTAACAGGAGGCAGAGCTTATGCAGTGATAAGAGTGATGAGGAGCAGCTGTAAATACAGATGAAGCTTCCCTCACTCACTTACTCACTGCTCACCTCCTGCTGTGCAGCCTGGGTCTGTGGCCTGGGGATTGGGGACTGCAGCTTTAAGTCATCTCTAGATTACTTATAATACCTGATACAATGTAAATGCTACGTAAATTGTTGTTATACTATATTGTTTAAGAAATAATGATAAGGGAAAAAAGTGTATACATGTTCAGTATAGATACAACCATCCTAATTTTTTTCTGAATATTTTCAATCCAAGGTTGGTTGAATCCACAGATGCAGAATCTATACATACAGAGAGGCAACTATATTTGGATTTTGTTCCCAGTTCCCAACACAGAGCTCCTAAAACCTTTGGAATTCCTGAGTGACAGATGTGACTTCACTCTTTTTTTTTTGGCATATTATGGGGGTACAGATTTTAAGGTTTCAATAAATGTCCTTTCCCCCTCTCCCCCCACAAGTCTGAGTTTCCAGCATGACCATCCCCCAGATGGTGCACATCTCACTCATTATGTATGTATATAATCTATAAAAATGGCATATAAATTTATAAAAGGAATATTGAGGAAGAAGTCATTAATCTACCATTATGCTGCTACTACTCTATCTCTTAAAAGACCATCTTCATTAAACAGAGCTAAAGCTATTAATTATGCATTTTAGCATCTTAATTTTATTAGAGCAAATAGTTTGGACCCCTGAAATATGCTGATTATTTCGTGTCAACATTAGTCTTTCGACACAGCATTGTGTGTGATAGCATTAGGTAACACAGCTCAGAACGAGGGTAAAAGCTTCAAAAAGATACAACACACACAAACACACACACACACACACACATATATACACAAAGATAAGAACAGTCATGCAGGGTCTTGCGGGAACATATAGAAATGATACAATCGTCGTTAAAGTGGGATGGAATACCCTCCAAATCTATCCCTGACTTGCTCATTACACACACTGTCGCATGTAACAAATATCACATGTACCTATCAAATAAGATGTAATACAATGTCAATTAAGGAAGATAAAAATAACAAAAAATAAAATCACCTCTACATGTATCACCAAAACATTGATTCCACCAGTATTGACCCATTGGATTAAAACTCCATCCAAATCAGTGTCTCAATTATATATGCAGAATCAAGTAAGCAATAAATGAATCTTTTGAAAACATCAAATTTTAAATAATATCCACAAATACACTGCTTTAAATATCCAAAATTAACTTTGCCATCTAAACACACACATCAACAGAATTAAATGAGAGCCCCTAGAAGGCAGATAAATGTAAGAAACACAAAAAAAAAAAAAAGGGAAAAGGAAGGCGGCGGAAACCCGAATTAAAGATTGTCACAATCCAATAAACTACAAATGAATTAATCCAAACGATCGGACCATAAATTATCCATAACCAAGCCACCTGGATTCCAATTTCCTAATCTTAAACTCCACTAAAAATCAATGGTTTGACAGTTCATGTCCCTTATACTATTTTAGTATTTCATAAAATGCAATTCATTTTGCCAATATTTCCATTTTTTTTCTCTTCTTTTCGGATAACATTTATACGGAAATACTGACAATAAAAAGTTGTTGGCCGGGGCCCCGCGGTGGCTCACGCACTATAATCTAGCTTCTGCGGGAGGCCGAGTGGGCGATTGTCGCGGTCAGACTTAAACACCCAACGCCTGAGCAAGAGCGAGCCGCTCTTACTATAAAATCACGAGGAAAAATTAATTTGGCGCACTACACACATCAACATAAACAAGAAAAAAATTCTTAGCCGGGCAGTGGCGTATGCCTGGTAGTCCCAGCTACTTGGCGAGGCTGAGGCCAGAAGGCATTGCTTCGAGCGCAGGACGTTTGAGGTTGCTGTGGCCGAGCCCTGACGCCACGCGAACTCACTCTGCCTGGGCACAAAGTTGAGACTCTGGTCTCAAAAAAAAAAAAAACGTTGC